TTGTTAATTAAGTGCCGGGTTGGGAGTGAGGTTGTCATTTTTTGTTGTATATTTATTTTTGGTTTATTGATGTCAATTAGGTCTGCTTCTGCAATTTTAAGATGCGTGTAGTTGCTGTTCTGGTATATTACTTTGGTGTTGCTGTCGAGGATTTCACGGCTAATAGTGATTGAGTGTATTAAGTCCAAATGAGATTTGATAGCACCACTCTCTTTATGCATCGTAAGCCTTCTAGTCAGTAAGGTAGTAGTAATCCATATATATAATTTTGCACCTATGATGAATCATTCGGAATCGAAATATGGCCTTATTTGTAGCATGAATTCGGAAAATAAGTTTTGTGAGAAAAATCGAAAAAATGAACTACAAACATATTAACGCCAAACATTCTGTAGAATTTATATATATATATATATATATACCTACATACATATACATACATATATATATATATACATACATACATACATATACATATATATATATATATATATATATATATATATATATCCCACTCCCGAAAGTTGTTCCTTATATGAAGCTTAGAAACTGTGCAAATTTTGGTGTCATTATATTAAAGTTTACAAGTAGCTCAATCAGGTGATATGTTTCCTTTTTTAACAATGTTTCTACAATGTTGTTTTGTTACCAAACTTGCATGATCTAAGTGTGATTACTGGCCTCAATAAGTATTTATACTGTTTACAACAATATCTATGCGAGCATTTAAAGTATCTATGACGTTATTACTATTCTTTGCTATTTTGTTTACAAACATCTGCCTGAACAATTGAATTTGAATTCAAAAACTGTTAACTTTAAGCTGTATGATTTTGATCATCTCTAGGACGTTTACTGTGCAATATTTTGTAACCGTTATTACCTGATGGCAGACCAGCAGTTTGATTCATCTAAAAAACGTGGTATTTGGCTGATTGGAAAACTATCGCAACAATCAACGGTAGAAAACATCCTTCCAAATGACAGGTGTTACAAAGTTTCTTTCATCTTTATCAGAAAGATTTGCATTCTATTCCTTATAGTGCCGCAGTTACTATCAAAAAAGTCGTCTAGTTCTGGGACAAGGCACGCATTCCAGTTTGTAAAGACTATCATATCATCTCTATAATAAAGGATCTACATTCACAATGGATTCATGTTAAGGAGAATGCAGCTCGAAAAACGGGCAAACAGAAGGAGAAAAAACGCCAATTTTGTGGAAATTTGGCATTGCACACGCTGAAGCACTAAACCTTATACAGATACCCGAAGACCGAAAATTTCTTCTAGCGCAAAGTGAAAAGGGGAGGCGTGGTTGCTTGGATCCAGTCGATAAGGTGTTGACAGCGAAAGAAGCAAGGTGTAAAAGACGGGTTTTGCAGACGAAGGCACGCAAGGAGAAAGAAATTGAGCGGATGCAACAATTGGACACTGACAATGACTACATTATTGGTCAACGGAAAATAAAAAGTTTGAAAGTTGTCAACGATGCCGCCGAGAGAGGAGTGGCCTTAATTCAGGAGTTCAACAGAGTTGTAACAAATGACAAAGACCAGAAGCAGTATTTGATGCAAGTGATAGAGGAACATCGCAAAGACTTCCCAATTTCAAAGAAGTGTACTATTATTGCTGCAAGAAGAAAGTAAATACTAGACAATATGGGATCATAGCGGAACATTTTCTTAACGTTATTATGATGAAATTTGGCTTGTAAACGTTTCTTTGTTGAGCTACCAGTAAATATCAATATTATACATTAAAATTTTGCAATTGTTACTTTTTTCATATAAGGAACACATTTAAGGGGTGGGAAGATAAAACGTTTTATCTTCGTTTTTGAGTGCCTCTACAATGCTAATTCTTAATTTGTTTAATGTGAATACTTAACGGTCATTTGATTAGTTATTACGATCTTCAACTTTGCGCAATGTAACTGTTTTACCTGTCGTCATTATCGATGATTCTTCTGTTTCTAAATTTATTAGTGGGATGGATTCCAATTGCACGTTGTTGAATATTTTTATTGGATGTCTTTGTTCTATGAGTATTAATTCGGCTGGTCGTAAATTATGATGGTTTTATTTTAATGTAAGATTTCAACATTGTTGTTCAAGATTTGCCAGTAATTTTAGTTTTGTGTTTCTCTTTCATGTGATTTGTTATAGCACCAGTTTGTACGTTTATCGTGAATCTTCTCGATAGCTTAGCCGTTGTCATACCAATATTCAGAATTTTGGTGCCCACACTCACCAATATTACATTTGATCCATTATTATCGATTTTGGCTTACTAGTGCAGTTGTTTTTTATCACGAGAGATGAGTTATTTGGTTGGAGTAGTATATTTGTAGTTCAATACTATCGTTTTCGTTTGTTGTTTGAACGTTATATTTTATGATTCATTTCATGATTTTTTCATCCTGTTCGAAAGCAGTTGACGTGTGGTCCCTATAATATATTAATATATTGTTTTTGTTGTTATTGTTAGTTACATTGTTGTTGTGGCTGCTGACTTTTTATTCTTCGCGTTCTATCATATTGTTATAATACTCGCTGTCGTAACCGGTTTACGATGCGACGGGTTCAAATCTTCGATTGAATAAAATACTCCAAACAGTTATTAAACTTTATTTACAGAAGAAATCAACTATTATTAGTTATTAAACTTTATTTACAGAAGAAATCAACTATTATTAGTTATTAAACTTTATTTACAGAAGAAATCAACTAATCGTTTATTTCCAGTAAATTCGCACTAACGCAACAATTAACTTTTAAATCTTTCAAAATCTATCGCTATGACAACGTCAACAAACAATTCAAATATCGCTTTAAATAATTCACCGAATCGCTATTCACAAAATCACGAATTTCACTAATCACGAATATCCCAATCACGAATATCACCCATCACAAATATCTTGCGACGTGCGCTTATATACTCTTCGCAAGCGTCGTTTCTAGATTCTTCCCGATGGTCCGATTCCAGCATACTCTAGAACGTTCCAGTCACTAGAACATTCTAGAATACGCTAGAATCTAGTGCGTTCGGTAGCACGGTTATAACAATATTTTGGATCGTGGAATTTTTATATCCATTATTAGTAATTCAGTGACTCTAGTTCTGTTCTCCTGCTTCCTACATCAGAAGAGTGCATATAAGCTCGGTTTACAAAAGCAGAGATCGTGCTTTCTAGATATGTTTGACAACATTCACAACATTCACTTTTTCTATTGACATAAATTTTTGTTTTTTGCTTTGGTGTATACTGACTAAGGTTTTAAATTCATTATGAGCATTTTGTATTAGTAATGTAGAAATGGTAATTTATTGTCGTTTGTCTTTTTCAATTGTAAACTTTAATTATGATGAATTTAGTCGTAGTAGAGGTTTTTCTATTTCATCATCTTTATTGAGAGCCAAGCCGAGCTGTTAACATCCCTAAATAATAATAGCGACCGGACCACAGAAAATGATATAAATATATTGTGTTATTAACTCTCGATAGAAATCGAAAAAGAACGGAATGTCACCTATGATTTTACTCCATCTCCTTGTCCTGTCACAAAGTGTCAATTTATTTCGACCCAAAACGTGATGTGCCGTGATATATATTGAATTGCCCAGTTTTATTGAGATGATCTTTCTGAATCTATTGAAGATATACTGAAAGAAGAATAGCCGTTCTAGACACAAAAATAAATATAGCGTATAGGAAAAGCCAAAAACTACAATATAAGCACTGACAGAAAGCAATACTAACCTTTTTCCGAAAATTTGGTGCTGTTATTGATAAAGGCAGCGCTATCGGTTTTAATGGCAATATTTGAAAAGTTTTTCACCGTTAAAATAAATAAAAGACTATTTGAGAAATAGCTGTAGTGAAGAATGACTCACCTCATTAGCATTACTTCCTATCCATCAAGGTATGTCTATAGAAGTAAACAATGGCCTGATTATGCACCATTTCAGACAAAATACTGACACATAAACTTATGTATATAATGTATATGAATATAAATAATTATAAGACTAATGTTTGTGTCGAATAAATTTTTTTTTATTCGTCCGACACTTGGATCAACAGTTTTCCCGAAAAAATTCTTGGTCAAAAATATCAATGCAAATATTGATCAATACAGGAAACATCAATATGTGCTTTAATATAGTGTTATAACCGTAACAAATATATTTCCTAGAGGCGCTAGTGACGCATAGAATTCGAGGAGGAATTAAAACCTTCTGACAGCGAGATATCTAGGACGTTCGAGAAGTGCTGATAAAACGGGTATATGAAGGTGGGCGAGATATTGAGTGGTTGTTAGTTAAATATTTGATAATGGAAAGCGATTGATTATTAGTGTCGAAAGTGATATTTGATATTTTACCTTGCGTTATATTTTTATTGTAATTGTGATAAACATTAGTAAATTGTTATTCAGAAAGCGATAGTTTTCGAACGTTAATTTAATAGTTTGTAAATATTAACTATTATTGGTAAAATTAATTAACGTTGATTATTGTTTTGTAAATATATAAAATGATAATTTGCTTTTATTTTTCACGTGGATTAAACGAACTCGTCGTCGACCGGGACAGTTATAACATTGGTGTCAGAAGTGGGATCATCGCTGGAAAATAAGTTAGCATCGTTTTTGAAAATTTTATTTTTTGTCGACAATTTATTTTGTAAAAACAACATGACGAAACTACATCAACTTAAATTGGTGCAATTTAAAGAAGAGTTACACAAGCAAAATCTTGCTACAAGTGAAAACAGGAGCATTAATAGCACGCCAATATATTGTTATAATATTCGCTGTCGTAACCGATTTACGATGCGACGGGTTCGAATCTTCGATTGAATAAAATACTCCAAACAGTTATTAGTTACTAAACTTTATTTACAGAAGAAATCAACTAATCGTTTATTTCTAGCAAATTCAAATTAACACAACAATTAACTTTTAAATTGTTCAAAATCTATCGCTATGACAACGTCAACAAAACAAATCAAATATCGCTTTAAATAATTCACCGAATCGCTATTCACAAAATCACAGTCACGAATTTACAAAATCACGAATTTCACTAATCCTAATCTTCTTGCGACGTGCGCTTATATACTCTTCGCAAGCGTCGTTTCTAGATTCTTCTAGATGGTCCGATTCTACCATTTTCTAGAATGTTGTAGTGCGTTCGGTAGCACGGTTATAACAATATATATATATATTAATATATTGTTATTGTCATTGTCATTGTTAATGAAAACAAGAATCCAGGATGTCGAATTGAATGCAGCTGTAGGCGCTGGGGCAAACACCGAATTGAACAACAATCACCAGAAGCAAAACAGTCGAGAGATCAAATTGGTGTAAAAATTTAACAACAGACTAGAGATTAAATTAATGCAAAAATTTTAAAACAATCTGCAGAAATAATACAACAATCAGCAAAAATAAAACAGAAGAGAAATCGAGTTGATGTAAAAATTGAACAGACGAAAAATCAAGTTGATGCCAAAATTGAGCAGTCGGCCGCGATTGATGCTAAAATAATAAAACAGTTGATAGAACACAGAGAAAAATTCGATGTCCAAGTTGAACAGCAACAGCGTTCAATGCAAAAATGACAGAGACCACGTCAAAAACTGAACAGAAATTTTATTAAAAGGTTATCGAGCTTGACCAGAAGTTATCTGGCAAAATAGATAAACTTAAACAAGATTTGGAAGAAACTAAGAAAATAAAATCAACACCTGTAAACTACGTGACCACGAAGACATTGAAAACGCCAGCGGCAGAAGTTTTTAGTTTCGATTTTAATCGAGAATTATTCTAATTTACGTTATGGTGAAGAGCACATGAAGCAAATATATCGGTCCCAGTTACGAAATCGGACGCAGCGACTGGAGAATCGATACAGCAGCTGGTACAGGATATTGAACGGTTGACTTTGCTGTCATACCCTACGTGCGACCAACAACACAGAAAAAGAAACTGCATTGGAAACGTTTATAAAGGCTGTTCGGGATTCAGATCTTAGACAAACCCTCATACCAGCGGACAAACGCAACCTCAAAGATGCTGTTGCCTACAGTCTTGCATTCAAGTCAGCAAAGCAAGCATCACAGACTGACAAAAACCTGCACCAAATTCGGGAAGAATGTTCATGTCAAAGAATAGTTCTAGAATGGAAAGATCAGAATTATGGTGTTCCAAAATGCTGAATTGATTGATTAATTAAATAATTAATTATAGTTTTTTAAACAAATAAATCGATAATTTGGAAGTTATATTGCCTTTATTTTTCCCTGAGATTAAACGAACTCGTTTTCGAACGGGACAGTTATAACAATAGCTTTTATCAATACATTTCAATATAAATTTCTATCAATATGCTGCAATAAGCTTCCATGTGTATGAAGGTCTTCTAAAAAACAGTCGATGTAGAATGTAGATGTCAAGGCATATTGATCAATGCATTTGATTGTGAACATTGGTTAATAGTATTAACAAATATCTAAAATGAAATGTGCTTTAGCAGCATTTTATTTGTTTAAGGACATTTTAGTACATTAAAATAATTCAATTCAAATACAGTATTAATTTATTAGTTTTTCCTTCTAGTAAAAAATTAATTTTAACATCAATTAACAACATTATTCATTATTAGCCAACCTGATGTAATAAATCTATGTGTACACGTACGCAAACTCATAAAACATGACGTCAGAAATTAGTAAATAAATAAATAAACATTTTAATTTAATGAAAGTAAAAATTTTTTTTGAAATAAAATCAACAATTTTTAACACTCTTTAATAATGGCCGAACAAATGATTCAAGAATTATATGAAATTCAAATGAAAGCTTCATATCTCAGTCAACAGGTAAAAAAATGAATAAAATGAAAAAAATTTAAAAGCCTTTTAACTTAATCCTCATATTCATTAAAGATAAAAAATACGCTTTCAAACAATCCAAGACCTCCATGCGGCATGGAACATAAACAAGGGCAAAGTTGTGTTCCGGTTTCCAATCAAACTGTTGTTACAAATTATCTAGCGAGTAATCAAGCGAAAAATTCTTGTGGATGTGCTAACAAATCTGTGCAACCGTCATTTGCAAAGTCAACGTTACAACCTCAGTCTACAAATTTATTTAGTCAAAATCAAATGAACTCGTACGATCAACAGTACGGTCAGCAACAGAACGCATGTCTTGCACAATCAAAATTTTCTCAACAAAGACAATGTCCTCAAATAAACCAAACCCCGCAACCATGTTCTTGTTCTTTACAAACAAGTTCCTGCCCTCCACCATGCTCGTCACGTTCTCCCAGTCAATTTCAGCAAGAACCAACAGCTTTTCGGCAACTTGACACAGTGACTTCAATACCATTTTCACAACAACCACAAGATAATTTACAGTCATCGGAAGATTCTCAAGACTGTCGAGGTAATATTCACAAAATTATTATAAATGCTGTTATTAACAAATTATAGCGGCTTTTATAAAAGAAATTTCTCAAAAGCACACTAAAACTAAATTAAAATGTAAAAATCTTTGCTTTGATGGATCCAAATCCAAATAACTTCTGTTGATTGTTGTTGAATGTCCATTCTCTGACACGAATAATGAAAACGAAAATTCTGTCTGTATATTTATCTTCAGTGATCAGTCGATCGCTGGGTGACGTCAGATCAGATCACCTTCTTTGAAAACAGGATAACAGGAGAGGCATCAACACGGATTGATCGCAAATGATCAGTTAAATCGGTTGCAACACATTTTTGTCACATTACTGAAGTAAATTTTTTTGCGTAGAAAGATTTCACTCAGTTATCTTTGAATTGCTGGAGAGCTTCGAAACAGTTATAATCTTTGTCAAGAAAGTTTTCATTGCAGTGAGTGGAGAACCCTTTGAGGGTTTTTGTGACCTCAAATTTTTCTTTCAATTTATACGATTATCGTTGTCAGAAACGATTATCTTTGGCATTAAAACGATAACGATACTACTAGTTACTATAGTATTAGAAGGTGTTTGAAGAATTAACTTTAATTTTTGAATGAAATTTAAAATTAATGTGTTTTCTTCAACATAAATTTTGTTGAAAAATTCATTTACATTTTTTCAAAGTTAAAATTGCCATGAATGCTTTGTTCACTGCCGTTATTTACGTTTATTTATATATGACTTTAAATTTAAGAAATATGCCCAATAAGAGTTTGTGAGGTTGATTGTTTGGGAAGCTACATTAAACTATACAACACAGGATGCAAGGTATATTTTTTGAAACTAAAAACTAAAACAGATTAAAAAATTCAAATAATTTATAGATGGAGTATATAAGTGGTTATTTTGTCGTCCAAACTCAAAAAGACTGCTGTCTGTCGATTTATAAACTTCCACCCTGTGTTTATATAGCAGGACAAAGTTACATTAAAATTTGGACTTGCCCATATGCTAACAATCCTAACAAATTGCCAAGTGACTTAGTCTTTAAAGAACTAACCAGATGGAAAGTTGGAGATGATGTTTTGACAACTCTCTATAGATGTGATGGAAAGGTTACTGCTTTAAACAGCATTATATTGAAGCTAAAATGCCTTTTATTGAAATTGGAATTAATATTATTCAGTATTGATAATTTATTAAGTTTAATAATGTTTACGAAAAAATACACAACCATTTTACCATAACATAACTTATTGTTTTATTCAGCCTGTGTCCTGCTTAAGAGGTTCCTCGTTGTAATGAATTTTGGTCCTAAATTTATGATTCGTGAAAAACCAGAAAAAATAGAAAAGCATCGATTAATAATAAAAATATAAAATAAATTTGTTTTATTTAATTTGTCCTTAACAATTTAAGATACTGTATTAATAATACTATTTCTTGATAGAAAAATCATATGATAGATATAATATTATGATCACTTCATCCAACATGAATATAAAAATATTTTAAATGATTAATGACGTTTAAAAAATTGCCTAATTAAGCATTCCAATGTTGAAAACGATTGATTAGCATCCTCCGCCAAGACATGAAAGAAAAAAATATTGTAAAATTTTGTAGCATAATTTTGCGTCAAGAGAAGATATCGTATTTTCTATATAAAATAGTCAAAAATTTAATGAGGAACAAGAATGTATTCTCCCAAAAAGAAAAAAATTAATTTATTTTTGTAAGGTATTTTAAAACTCCAACAATTTTAACAAAAATTTTATCAAATTTCATTATTGAAATCATTAACGACGATTTCATTAATATCATTAACATCGATTTTTGGCGTTTAAAAAATTTTTCATAATCGTTTACCCTTTGTTTACTTGGTGCTACGAAATTCTTAAAATCACGATTACGCGCCAATATGGAGAAAGAAATATTGAATGGCTTGACACTGGCGTACATCCACGAAGACATGAATCTACTTTTAAACAATTATAAAAATTCTCTTTAAACATAGATGTAAAATTAACCGAGCGTGTTAGTTTTATAACTTCTTATTTGAACTCTAATAAAAACATTTCAAACATTTGACTAAACATTTCATAAAATTTTTAAGCATGCGTGTTTTTAATTTCCTTTTTTTTATTTTGTTTTATATTGTTATTTAAATTTTTTTTTTTGTACTTCATCACAGTTGCTTGTTTTGCGTATTTGAGTTAAACCCAGTTGAATTCTTAGAAATTGGTCTATATAAATTTGATAGATTAATTAAATGATTGATTGATTGATTGATTGATTGATTGATTGATTGATTGATTGATTGATTGATTGATTGATTGATTGATTGATTGATTGATTGATTGATTGATTGATTGATTGATTGATTGATTGATTGATTGATTGATTGATTGATTGATTGATTGATTGATTGATTGATTGATTGATTGATTGATTGATTGATTGATTGATTGATTGATTGATTGATTGATTGATTGATTGATTGATTGATTGATTGATTGATTGATTGATTGATTGATTGATTGATTGATTGATTGATTGATTGATTGATTGATTGATTGATTGATTGATTGATTGATTGATTGATTGATTGATTGATTGATTGATTGATTGATTGATTGATTGATTGATTGATTGATTGATTGAAAACCAGCGCATCACTGCTATAATTGTAAATGGTTTAAACAACGTTAAATATTAAATTAAAAGTTTTGCTAAAAAAACTCGATAGGTTTTGTTTTGCCATAATTATTAATAATAATAAAATTGCCACTAAATAATGATCCTTTCCACATCTCGTAAAATTCCGAATCTGGCACAGCTAACAATTTACCGATTATAATTATTAACGATAAGCTCGTTAAAATTTAGTTAACGAGTTAAAACTTAAACTTAAAAATTTTACTTGTATCAATTGGTCAACTGATCCGGATCGCTTTTAAATAGCATATAAAACTTTAAATTCGGAAACCAAAAATGCCGCCCATCCGCCATCCGAAGCTGTAGGAGCGGTGCATTAATTGCGTTACGAAGCTTTTATAATGAAAAGATCACCAATGTCTACTCTTAAAGTGGTATAAGTTAAGGGCCCTAAATACGATCCGTTTTTTGTGTAGGCCAGCCTATCTGTGCTGATAAAAAAATGAGCGATCAAGCTTGAACAATTTTGTTTATATCGCCACAAACTTTCATTAAGTTTTTACTCAGAATTTTCAGAAACGATACTTTTTTTTCTAAAACAACTACTTACGCACATTGTCAATTTTTTCAGTAACCAAATCTCTATCTGCATTTGATTCTATTTCTGCCATTTTTTATTAAAATATAAGCTATGGTTTTTATGTTTCTATCAAAATATTTTTTAGATTTAACCTAAAAATCAATAGATAAGAACCGTTATTTAATCAAAAAAAGAATGTGGTGATAAAATAAATTGAAAACTGTGCTAATTAAATGTGCAGTGTGCATACACACACAGAATCAGATTTGGCATTCAAGCCAAGCCAAATTCAGAACCAATCTGATTTTGCTTAAGCCAGGCCTGAGGCCCGCGAAGTTCGCCTGAATAACTTAACATATGGACGGATTTAACGGTGCAAATCAGAACTGCGCAGTCAAACTTATGCAAAAAACTGATCGTGTGTAGGGCTCTTAACTTATAATTCAATGGTTTGATTAAAGGAGTGTCTTGGTTCGGAAAATATAGAATATAAAGAAGACAACATCGAGGTTACAATTTTTAACATGGTCAAATATTGTAACATGCAGTATCGTCGATTTATTCGATCTTCCATAGGTTCAAGATTTCTGATAGATTAACACAACTGCTTCAAACACAGACTTGTTTAAACGTTTATTTGAATGCCAACATTAATAAGAACACTGATTCGTAAATTAATCCCAGAAATACCGTTCGAAGTCGCACGATCGCCAATAATTCACAACACAACTCCATAATCCAACCTCACTACCTTATCTTTACAACACGTGCTGTGCTTATATATCAGTAGTTTTACAAAAAAAGATTCCACAGTTCTACAAAGATGACAATTATAGCAATCATAACAAAAATAAATAATTTAAATTAATTATATAGCAACATTTGATTCTTCAGCGATATAACAATGTCACAACTATCGCTCTATTTTATTCTTCCCACAGAAAAGTTTACCGGATTCAAGAGCCACAGTAACGTTTAACATCAATTATAGTTGACGCAGTTCCCAAATAAAAAGGCTTAGATGGTTGGCAGCAACAAAAATTTCGAACCAATTAATGCAAACGCTCATGCTTGAAATCAAGTACTAACTTCAATTCTGAATCTAATTTAAGGCTTCAATTAATTTACACATCACTAAAATAAAAACAATATGTCGGTGCCGCTTTCTAAGCGTTGATGTTGTTGTGCTCTTGATCATCCGCTTCGCCAAAGATTTGGTTGGATTGTCACGTTTATTGAAGTGTTCAAATATTTTACTAAAAATTTGTTAAGACTTTATTTCTTTTGGATTTTCTAGCACCATTGAGTTTGGTATGTGATTTTAACTTTTTATTTTAAAAATAAAGAAAATAAAAATATATATAATATAATATACAAATATATTGTATATATTTTTTAGCACGCTGTAACATTCTCTTTGTCTGACAGAAAACAAATATTAAAGAAAAAAAATTTATTAGGAGATATAATTAATTGAAAAATGGTTCAGACTAATAAATTGGCTGACTTGGCTGGCTAACTATTATAACTTGAATACTCTTATATCTGCTTGTCCATCTTGTCTCACAAAGAAGAGATATTTGGAACGGAAGACCTCCTTTTTGGACTTTCACGAAAAAAGGATATATATATTTTCTTTTTCTGCCAATAGTATTTTGTATAACACTATAACCTATGTCCTATAACATAGCTGAACATAATTATGATCATTTGCCACAAAATTCAGCTTGTGTGAGACACAATGTAAGAAGGCAGTTAAATATTTTGAATTTTTGCCTGCACACCATTTTGTTTTCCAGACATTGTGGAACAACCGTCATAACCCATGACCTAAAAGATTATTAAAGAGAAAACCAAATGTTTGACAATTTTTAATGATACAATCAAATATTGTGGTAGCATCCATATCTTAACTTTGTTTCTCCAACATCACTTATTGCTAACATTTTGTTTGGATTTAAAAATTTCCGGATATCCATAATAGCGTCTAAATTTAAATAAGGTTTTTAAATGTTATTAATAATGATATTAGAATTGGAATAAAAAAAATAAAAGTAGATATATAGAATAATTAATAAGTAAATATATACATTATTCCAGAGAAAAGGACCAGCAATAATTAGATTCATGAGGACGATTAACTAAACATTTTTATATAAACCAGTGCAAAATTATCTTTTATACAATAAAATTGATAAAAAAATGTGATGGATTTCAAAATAATTTTAATAAATTGTTATATCGTTAAAATGTTTTAAAAAATTAGGAAAAGTGGTCAAACTTCAAACGTTTTAAACGTTTTAACTTTTTTAAGTAAAATGGTTGCATCAGGAAATCAAATTTAAACTACATTAATACCTACACCTACCTTAAGTATAGTAAATTTGAAACAAGAAATTTGTAATAAATAATATTTTTAAACAATTATGAAATAATTTATTTCACTTTGCAATGGAATTAAGATTAAATCCATTGTGAACACGTGGCGAGCACAAGTTTTTCAAAAATATAAAAAAAATCAAAGACCCAACCAAAGACGCTAAATTTCTATTTTATTATTTAAATTATAGTCACAGCTATTAAATCTAAAGCTTATAATTAATCTAAATAATATACATGTTAATATTTTAACATGTATATTATTTTAAAATTTTAAAAAGTTGATGTGAAAATAGAGTGATATTACAAAGTTTTACTGCTTAATCTAAACTGCTGAAATATTTTTCAAAATCCAGGAGAGGGGCAAAAATGAAAATAATTTCTCTATAACGAACAAAATTCATTGAAGTTTAAAGAATTATCTGACCAGCAGACATTTTATAAATTGATATGAGCTGTGTTTCTGTACTCCCTTAATATCTTAAAACCATATTTATTGTTTCTTGTTCTAGTAATTTTTGCATATTCTGTCTTGATTAATTTCAAGGTAATTGGAATCCGATTAATTTCAAGGGAATTGGAATCATCAAATTTCACTTTTGAAATTTTCTTTTTTACAATTATACTACATTTATTTTCTGTTATCAAAATAAATTATTAGGAAGTTGATTTTCGTAAACATATAGCATATAAACATCTTTTAAACAAAATAGAGTTTGTTCCTGAATAAATTCTATATAACGAAATTTCTATATGAAAATTTTTTCCCTGGAGCCATCAAGTTCGTTATACATATGTCCGACTGTAATTGTGTCTTTTAAATTCTGCATATTAAATGTTAAATACACATTACATTTTTTGCCCATAAACTTATTTAAATTTTCTTTTAATTTTTACAACTCTTACCTTAAACAGATTTTTTAAAATGGAAAATTTTGAAAAAATATCCAAAGGAATTCAAAATTTCAAACAATTGCCTGCTCTTAAGAGACCAGTAGGTCGTCCAAGAAAAAATCCACGTACAAAAGAAGAAGAAGATGAATTCAGACGAAAACAGAAAAGAGCTCTTGCTCAAAAACTTGTTAAATGGGAAATGATCAAACGTTCAGAAGGTGGTTGCCATTTTTAATTGTAATTTGTTGATTGTATATTTTTTATTTATATAGCACACACAAATTATAATTGCTTTTTATAGATATATCTATAGAAACAAATTTGAGAATGATAGAATCTAGCGTTTTTCCGAGCTTGCTCTATTCATGTGAGACATGGATAATAAAGAAAAGAGACAAAGACAGATTAGAAGCTTTTGAGATGAAGTGTTACCGAAATTTGTTGGGAATCAGTTGGAGGCAGAAAGTAAAGAATGAAACCATCAGAAATCAACTTGGGAGACAGAAAAGTGTATATGACAGTCAGAAAAAAAAATTTGGGATTTTTTGAACACATTTGTAGAATGAGAGAAGACAGATTGATTAAGATGGTACTAATGAGGAAAAGAGATTGGAAGACAAAGTTAGTAGACCTGCAAAGAAATGGATAGATGACATTACTGAATGGACTGGTGTTGGTATTCTAAATTCAATAAAACTGGCCAAAGATAGAAAAGGTTTTTGGAAAGAAAAAAGAAAAAATAAATGTTTAAGGCATGCTTTAAGGCACCATTGGCCTCGACTGTCCCCCGATGGACAAAGGGGGATCATTGATTGATTGATTGATTGATTGATTGATTGATTGATTGATTGATTTTATCAGCACTCTCCATGCAGAAATGTCCAATAAGTAACAAGCTGAAGGCTTTTAGCAATGTCACAAGCGGTCGCGATTATTGAAAGTTATTAAACAGATCTGCTTTAAGATGTTTTCTTAGCTCTGATAATGATATTCCAGGTTTTCATAATTCTTTAGCCAGACTATTCTAGAACATAGGACTGGCCAGTGCAAAATCTCTTTCAACTGTTTTGAGATTGTGACATCTAACATATAATATGTCCAAATTGGCCGATTTAAGAAACATTAATACTTTTATCTGCTAAGATGAACCATTTAAAATTTTTAAAACCATCACACCCAATTTGAACATGATTCGTTGTCTAACAGGCAGCAAATGCAAATCAATCTTTCAGGAACAGAGTTGCATAATCAAATTTTAACTTTCAATTTATCTAGTGGTGGATCTAGACAACCTTGACTGGGGGCAAATGTTGTCAATTTTTGCTCGATTTTCGATATAAAATGGTGCTTTTTCTGTTAAAACAATGCATTTTACTGACATCATTACTGAGCAGTCATTCTTCTTTTTCAAAGCCAAATGTTCAATAAGCTTTATCATTATTCAAACTAGTAACTCTAAACTTTTTTTTCTTTGATACATTTGTTTAGCCTCTTTGCAGTCATTTATCTTGTTTAATGTGTTCATTTTTTTAGGATCTGTCAGTATATTTGTCAGTTTATTTGTAATTTTGTTGATATTGTTTTGTATGTCTTTTGTTTTTACTTTAGATTGTCATAAAATTGATTTTCAATATATTAACAATAGGTTTTCATGTTTTGGTCAGATGAACCAATGATATTGTTTTGTATGTCCTTCATTTTACTTTAGATTGTTATAAAATTTATTTTCAATATATTAGCAGTAGGTTTTTGTGTTTTGGTCATATTCATTATTTTTCTATTATTTTGGTTGATCCTTAAAGACTCAAAAACCAATTGGCTTAAAATTTTGTGATGGGTTTTTGGGTATGACAAAAAAAGTGGATGTGATTTTAATTTGCTCTTTTCTGAAAAAGTTGTTGATTTAGTAAAGAGTAAAGAGATTTTTGATAGATTTTAATGGGGAAAAACCAACCAATTAGCTTGAAATTGTGTGAATAAAAATTTTTAGATATGGTGAAAAACATAGGTATATTTAAATTAGTTCAACCTTTGAAAAAGATGGTTTTATTGGGAGGGAATTTCTAGTAAAAATGAAAGTTGGAAAACTAGTGATCTATTTAGCTTAAAATTTTGTGAATACAGTTTTTGAATAACTTACATGTTGCTGTTAGTAGAGTCGTAGCCTAATATAATTAACAATCTCAAGTGCTGAGGGGTGTATCACAAATAGGTCTTCTCTTGTCTACCATTTTGAAACAGTTAGTCTTTGGTATACAATGTTGATAGAAGTAATTTATTGTTATTCATAGCTCCAGTCTCATGAGCACCCAATACTTCTTCCCAACTGATTTCCTAGTATTGAGATATCTAACAATCATAAGTTTTTCATTTGCTGGATGTCTCTAATAAGAAAATCAAGACTCGTAAAATGATGGTTGGCCATTTGATACAGATTGTTTTGAGAGCTTACAAAATGCCTACAACAACAACAACACACGTTTAGACGACAGAGCAAGTTTAATTTACACTGAGAAAATCAAAGCAGGTCACTGATGTTTTCTTAATCAGGAATAACCAAGGAAAAATTGATCATATTACCTAACAACCAAGAAAAAATGGTCATATTTATTACTTATCGAATCAATACTCAGAACTGTAAGCCAATTGACAACATCATGCTATTCTGTTCATAGTTGTATAACTTAAAGCAAAAGAAAAGACATTTTCTAAAGCTTCAACAAGATTAAGAATAGACTTATCAAATTGTTGAATGACATCGTTTGTTGCATTCAATAACACTGGAAACTACAAGGATATGAAGATAGTTCATTTGGACGAATTTGCTCCATTACATACTGCCAACACAATGAATGAACTTTATTTGTGAAGAACAGAACTGAGAAGAGAGTACTGTTATAATTTTTTACAAATTTCTCAAAAGTATTTGAATATTCTAAGACCGGCATTGAATATAAGAGTGTGCCATAATCTTTATCATTATAAATGTTTAAAAGCCATGTTTTGGATCGTATTTATTAACCTGTCTAAGGCACATGACATGGTTCTGTCATCAACAGTCCTGAGTAAGCTCTTTTCACCATAGTGTCGAACCACAAATCGCCGTAAAAATTTTTTTATTCTAAAAGAATTGGGGATCTTTTAAGACATTTCTATACATGGGCTATGACAGGGGTGCAAAAAAGTGTTGTCAGGTCAGGTAAGAAACCTACAACTATGAGGCTTACTTCTTTATCCAGGCTTGGAACTAGCATATTTTTGTTTGGGGTTGTTGTTAAATAATCTAGCTCTTACATGCTGACATGGCAGGATTTTGGCTTTATGCCATATAGCTAATATTTATATTGAGTGTGTCTGAGCAAAATTGGTTTACAAAGCATTAAAAAGTTATATCAATATCTGGAAATAGTAATAGCCTGCCAAATATTTTCAATAATGAACTTGATATTTTATACTGCAATTATTTGTTAATTTGATAACTCTTAATAAATGAAAGTTGTTTTTTAATATGCAAATAATAAAACATACTTATGTAAAAATTAATGGGTTCCATCGAAAATTATACAAGTTTGCCTCACAAGTAACAATATAAATAATATATGTAATCAACGGACTTGTTGACTTTTTAGAATGTTACGTTAGAATTAATATAAAATATTAATGTAAAATATTTTTGTTAATTTAAAACTAAATTGTTTTATTGACAGAAGGAGAAATATTAACCGCAAGAGATAATTATTATTAGAGGTATAGAAAAGTGTTGACAAATATAATTAATTTTTTCAGCTTTGACATCTGATGATGAGTTTCTAAATGAAGATGATATTGAAGATATGGATGAATTTGATGATGATAGTGACGATTCCATCACAGAGATGCTGAAACAATGTATCTTTTAGTTTTTTTTGTCCAAATTATTTTTATTGTCATTTTTTAAGTCATGAGATACGCATTCTTCTTCACATTTTCTTGCAACTTGCAAGTCCAGTCTTCTTTCAACTCTATAATATTTTTTGAATTTCATGAAAATTAGTGGTTTCTTACTTTATTCTCAGCTAGTCTATCAATAAAACGACCAGATTGTTAATTTTACAAAATTATCCTCAAAACTCTTCTATTCATTTGTATTTAAACCTTTTAAATTTTTCTTTTATTGCAAGTCTATTCCTAAAGCAACAACTTTTACCTGCGTTGCCAACTTCACGCTACATGTGTAGGCTTAAAAATTTAATGTGGTTAGTGTTCAGATATTGGTATTTTTATATTAGTTGAGTGAATTTTCGCCTGGTTGCAGTGTTAGTTTAAATTATGCAAGTATAGATAAATTTTGAAAACCTAAAAGATCCAGAGTTTGGTTGGATGTGTAAACGTGGTTCTTCTAAACTATTGGTCTCTACATGTAAAAAATAATGTGGTTTTATCTATTTAGAACAAGAGAAATGGGTTTTCAAACTTACTGAAATCTGGCATAAATCATGTGATGATCCGGCAGTTTTGAATTTAGATAAGCACCTCAGCTCATTTGCTCTGCCACTAGATTTGTGTTTAAATATCGATCTAATAATCTTTTTTTATTTGTTTTAATAAATGCAATGATGCTATCAATCTTTATAATTTTCTTCTAAATATTTACTTCTTCACTTTTTACAATACTCAATAGCTGAATTTATTGTTACACCTTTTCTCACCGAAAACCCAAAATATAATTATTCTTTCACGTCAAAATTTCTTTCATATGAGTCTTTATTAATTATTCTTCTTTGAAAAATAATCCTCATGACTCGACTCTATTATTTAGTTATAGAACCGTAGTAATTCTTTCTTTTATTTCTAAAGTTTTGAAATAATTGTTTACACTCAGTTACTTGTGTGTGTGTCTACAAACTTTTAATTACCATCATTACACTCTGGCTTCCACAGAGGATACAGTTCTATAATCTCTCTTCTCAAGCTATGTAACGACCTAGTCTCTGTCTCAAACCTATTTTTCTCTTGGCATGTCTAGATTGTTCTTTCACACTTATTTTTATCTTCAGTCTTATAGGCTCACTGATCGATACTACGAAGCCACTAAACGCTTCTGCTCGTCTTTTGTCATATTCTCCTTTTTTTATTTATTTATTTCTATTACGCTACCTGTCAAATGCCCGTATCATCTTCAAACTTACGCTAATCTAAAATCTTTAATATCTTTTTGTATTTTACTTGTTATCTTGTTTAATATCCCATTATTTACTTATTTTTATCGTGATTACTGTTATTATTGTTACTTTTATTACTATTACTATAGTAATACTTAACTAGTAGAGCCCCAAACAGAAAAGATTTTTCCAATCCGCAACCGCCCGCATCCGCAGAGTTCACGTCCGCAACCGCCCTCATCTGCACTGCTCATCATCCGCACCCGCGAAAAGGCAAGCTATATCGGCCGTCTTAATCTCATGCTTAAAATTAGAAGATAGCAATACTAGGGAGCTATTTATTTACAATATAATTATAATCAAACAGCAGATAATCTGCCGAGAAGAATTCAATAAATTTCTAATTTAATAATTGAAATAACATCGGCAAAAACGAGCCCAAAATGAACGACGGTGAGGAACTCAACCAAGCTATTTAATATTTATGAAGATGTTATGTTATATATATATATATATATATATATATATATATATATATATATACGTATATCTATATGTTACTATAACAACAACACACGTTTAGACGACATTTTCCCCGAAATCGGGGGTTGCCGTTTGGCTACCTATGATGAAACTGAAATAACCCTCGACGCCATTCACATCTGTCACTCGCCTCAGTATCACGCAACCCCGCTTTCACTCTGTCCTTCTCCACCTGCTCTCTCCATCCCAATCACGGACGACCCCTTCCTATCACTTCTTCAACCTCGAACTCCAACGCTCGCCTAATCCCGACCCTTTCATCCCTTCTCAACACATGTCCATACCACCGCAATCTCGATCTCCTTATCAATGTCACAATGTTTTCATTCAGTCCCATCATCGACATCAGCTCTGTACTGCTCCTCCTATCCTTCACTTTAACCCCACACATCATTCTCACCATAGCTCTTTCAGCCCTCTGCAGTACACTTTCCTCCTCTCCTCAACACCCAAGTTTCACCACCATATACTATCGCTGCTCTCACACATGCTTTATATACCCTCCCTTTCATCACCACCACTCAACCCCGTCCTTGCGTTCATCCTATTAATCACATCATGAACACATTTCTTACATTTGAACTTGCCTTCTACCTTTTTCAGTGCTCCCCTCACACCACTACATTTCTTATGCACCCACTTCTGATATCCTATACACAATACCTAGTTAGCCTTCACTCTCCTGTCACATACTCCACAGGGGTCTATTTTACTTAACACTCGCTCCCCACCTTCCCCACTCACCATTACCTTCGTCTTACCAATATTAACTTTTAACCCTTTCTTTTCAATACCACTTTTCCATCTGTCAAATTTTAACTGCAATTCTTTCATGCTATCAACCATCAAGACTAAATCATCTGCATACAAAATCTCAAATAACAACCACTCCATTATGTTTCCACACACAACATCCATCACAATTGCAAACAAAAACGGTGATAACACTGATCCTTGATGCACTCCTACCTTAACACTAAAAGCGTCCGACACCCCCCTTTCGACCCTCACCTTTGTCTTCGCCCCTTCATACCGCTGCATCACAGCTTTAACAAGCCTCTCATTCACTCCTTTCTTCCTCAACGCCCATTCAGTGACCTTCCTCGGTACTCGATCAAAAGCCTTTTCTAGATCCACAAAACACATGTACAATCTTCGTTTCTTCTTTCTATAATTCTCCTGCAACATTCTCATTATGAACAACGCATCCACCGTTCCCCTACCAGGCATAAACCCACACTGCATTTCATTAATTGTCACCATATTTCTCAACCTCCTCTCAAAAACCCTCTCCACTACCTTCATTCCATGCTCTAGCAATTTCACACCCCTATATGACCCACTATCTCTCACATCTCCTTTGCCCTTATACAACGGCACCAACACAATGTGTCGCCAATCCTCAGGTATATCTTCATCATCAAACATACTGTTAGCAATTCTCATCATAACTTCAATTCCTATCACTCCACTCGTCTTTATATGTTCCGCCGCCACTTTCGAAACCCCTGTCGCCTTACCCTAGTTTCATTTCTCTAACTGCTTTCTCCACTTCCTCCATCGTCACCTTCTCTATGGGTCCGTGTGTGACCGCGGATTCCATATCTCCATTCCACTCATTCTCTTCATTCATCAACCTTTCCATATGAGCTTTCCACACCTGAGCTTTTTCCTCATCTATGCACAGCTTGCCAGATCCATCCCAAACATATCCATTCCCTATAACATCTTTCCTATCCCTCATTGACTGCTTTGCTACTTTGAACATTTTCTTCGAACTCACATCAAATTCCATTTCCCTCATTAACCTATCTGATGCTTTCGTCATTGCAGTTGCCACTGCCCGTTTTGCAACCTTCTTAGCCTTCCTATACTCAGACTCCTTCTTATCCTTCTTCCTCTTCCCCATTTTTTTTGATGCCACATCCATCACAACCATATTATGCTGCAACATACCAGGTATCGCCTTCACATTCCTTACGTACTTTCTATGCTTCGCCCTTATCAATATATAATCTATCATTGACCTATGCTCCCCTGACCTTTCTGTAATTAATCGTGCTTGTTTCCTTTTATTCCCCACCACCATGCTATGTGCATCCGCCAACTCCAACACTCTACGCCCTTCCTCATTCCGTATACCATATCCCCATCCCCCATGTACACCTTCATATCCGTCTGCATCAGCCCCCACATGACCATTTAAATCACCCAACAACACCACAAACTCATCCAATCCCGCTTGCCCAATCTCGTCAGAAAAATCATCATAAAACCTATCCTTCTCCTCTTCCTTCCTACTTTGTTGCAGAGCATATCCTGATATTACCCTCACTATTACCTTTCCAAACACCATCACCACCACAATTACACCATTGCTTTTCCACCTCACTTCCAACACCTTCTCCACCAACTCTTCTCTTACCATCACACCAACTCCTCCCGTACCATCATCCCCCTTCCACCACAACTTTCACCTTCCACCTTTAGCCCCCACAAACCTTGTACCCTCTCCTTCCATTTGATCTCCTGTAATGCAGCCACGTCAACCATTCTACTCTGCAACTTCTCCACTACTTCCATTTGATCTCCTGTAATGCAGCCACGTCAACCATTCTACTCTGCAACTTCTCCACTACTTCCAAACTCCTTCCTGTCAGCGTGCCTACATTCCAGGTACCAAACCTCCAACCCCTTGGTCTACAAGTAATCCTTCCATCCATAGTGCCTTGCACCGCAACACTATAGAGTGGGGTGCCAGTAGCCAGACCATCCACAGGGCCTTGCACCGCAACCCCATGGACTGGGTCTCCGGGGATTCTTCGCACCCTCTTCTGCCGGATACTGAGGACCATTGTCACTTCTGTCATCATAAGTATTTTTTTTGGCTAATTTTTACGCAGGACGCCCTTACGCAACCACAGTTATAAGCGGTGGGCCTAGCCTTTGAGGATCCAACATCACTCACAAGGCAGTGAGGGTCAGTTTAACGTCATAACCAGGATAACATCCGCGGCAAACCGCACTGACAAAATCGACAAACCGCAAAATCTGCAGAGTTTTGAGAATTTTCCGCTGGGGGCTCTACTGACTAACTAGTTAACATGCACTTGCATTTTAGAAATTGCGGTTTATGATTAAGTTTGATTGTTTCATTGATTGATTGGTTAGTCTATTGATTGATATTGCTAATTATAAATTAAATAGTTGTAAAAATTATGATTTTTATGTTGTTTCATGTTGTTTTTTTCATTTTAATAATATCTTTTTTTTTATTTTAAATATTTTGATATAAAAATATAGCTAAAGTCAAGTTCTCCAATTCATCATTTGGCAATTATAAAACGTCTTTGAACTCAAAAGTACGTTCCAAAAAAATTTTTACACTATTTTTATTTACAATTCTAGCATAAATAACTTGTGTTCATATATTCTCGTTTAGTGAATGAGTGAATGCTGTTTGAAAACATAATTACTGATGGCAAATAAAAAAATTGGTAAATTACAAATTGGCATTTAAAATCTGTATCCTCTTCCTGATTACTCTATTTTTGGTCATCGTTTTCATAAATTGTCATTTGTTGTATGAAAAATGAATACTTGATAATCGATGTTAAGTTTCTGATAAACAGGCACATAGGCATAGAATAATGATGTCTTTTCTTTTATTTATGTTTTGTAATATCTAGTAGAAGGTTCTTATGAAAACAAAAATTAAGAATGTTTGTTCAGAAAATTTGAAGTATTTTTAATTTTTTGCAATTTTATTTAATGCTGCTAGAGGTGGGGTTACAATTATAATAGACCAATTATGATTAAGATCACACACGGACAATATCTAGGGGATGTTCTGGATTGTACTGGAACAGCTGAAGCTGCCGTTCGAGCACGCATACCTAGTCGCAAACAATCGAACAAGACATGAAAGGTCTAAATTTAAATGAAATTGATACAACTGATCGTCTAATTTGGCGCAAAAAATTGATGGCAAAGAAAACAACGTCCTACCTTGGGAAACTGGGTCTCTGTATGCTAAACGAAATAAGATTGATTGATTGAATCATGATTAAGATCATCTAGTGACGCTATAACGATTGAAATTTAAATTCAAATTTTTAAAAAATTTAAGAACAGTCATGAAAAGCTGTGGGCTAATAAGGTTGATTTAGTTTTCAAGAAAGATGGCTTTGTGACTTACTATAAAGAACATCACACTGATTAATGTCTAATGTGGAAGCTTAAATATGCTCACACTTGCATATAACTAAGGTTGAATTAAATAAAATTTGTTTTAAACTAATATAAATAAAAAAAATGAAAAATTCTCATTTGGTGTAATGTAAAAGGTGAGATTGTGAGATATTTTAACAATTGAAAATATCATTTGGTATCGGCATTGGTAATTAATTTTTATAGCGCCCTTCTATGTTAATTTCAGAGGCACTTAGTGTATAATGATGAGGTTAAAATCATTTTTAGGCATACCAGCTTTGATCTGTTTGAAAATAATAATGCTAAATTGGAGTGAGTTCAGTTGTTTTTTCAAAGAAATAAGTTTTATTTCCAAACATATTTTATTGAAATCAACTCAAAAATCTATTTTTTTTCATTTGAACAACCTTGATACCTATTTCTATGATTTCAAAAAAAACTTGAACAAATGTTTCCTATTGATTAAAAATTTATTCACAAGCCAAAATACTCATACACTAAAAGAAATGTTATAAATATATCTTTTGGAGATTAATAGTTGGTACTTTCACATTATTTTATTTGTTTGCTCTTTTATATATATCAATCAGGAAGGTCCATGCAGATTGAACAAATCCCTGATGTGCAAGCCAATAATGATGACCAAAGCAACGTCATGCAATCCAATTAGAGTCGGAAAAATTACTCAAACAGGTTTGAAAAGTTTATGTAATTTGTCCAAATTTGTCTTGTTTTATTCACAAGTTTGCAATAATTATTTAACAGAATATGGAAATCCTGATGAAAAAAAATTATTCGTACCGGTGCCATTTCCGTTAATAATCCCTACGCCTTTGCTTTTCAATGTTGCTCCAACTCCCAATCCCTTGCCATTACCTTCACCTGTCCTGGTGCCGTATGTAACTCCTCTAAGCCAGGAAGCTATACAAAAAGCTTTAAAACAACTCAAGGTTACTCTAAGCTTATTTTTCACAGTATGTTGAAATAAAACGTAAGTTTTTATGTTTTTGTCGTTTTTGAAATTATTATGATAACATTCAGAAATTATCTTTTAGGAATTTCATGACAAATTGCCTGAAAACGAGAAAGGGACTGAAGATGATGATTTGAAACTGGTTAATATATTAAAAGAACTGCAAATTAAATTGACTGGTTTGTTTTATATCTAATCTAAAATAACACAATATTTTTTAAAAGAGTTCTTTACTTTTGTCATTTAGAGTCAAGTGAGGTGGTTAGTAATACCAAAACCGTTGATGATAAAAACATTGATGAAAATGAATTGAATGCAAAGGCTCATGGTGAATTATTAAACAACAATACCGTCAACAAAAATGAAATCGGAATGGATGATGGACAGATTGATTCTTCTAAGGTATGAGTTTGTTTCCGCATTTATATAAACAAAACAAATATTCTTGCAGGGTTTTTAAACAAAAGTAAACCGAAAGCTGTTCCAGTACAATCTAGAACATCCCCTAGATATTGAAACGATGTGACTTTCTCTACCTTAATGGCTTCGAAAAGATTGCTATTTTGAATTTGTTGTTGTGGATTGTGCAAGCAGGACAAACAAAATTGGACACTTTAGATAAAGTTGAACAGTGCTGAAACTTGATTGAATTGTTACCTACATCAGCTTTACAAACTGAACAGGACCATCGTCTAGTAGCTGTGGATTGGATGGGTTCACCAGTGTTCATTGCTTTGGTTTTGCTGATGTTGACTTTGAATCCATGATCGGCGAGTCTGGTGTTCCAATCTTGAAACATCTGTGATACATTCTGCTCAGACGTGGCTGTTAAAACGATATCTTCAGCCTATATTAGATTCCAAATGTCACCAGTGCGTATCGGTTTTGTGATTTATTCCATTACAGTTATAAATAACAGTGAACTGAGAATCGAGCCTTGGTGAACTCCAACGCCGATGTCAAATGCATCTGTGTTTCCAACCGTTGTGCTGACAAGAGTCTTTGTATTCGTATACATTTTCATCACAAGTCGAACAAGATATTCTGGAATGAGTTGTCGACGTAGACTCCACCTGATTGCTTCACGGGGAACTCGATCAAATGCTTTTTCAAGGTCTACAAAAATGTGTGATAGTTGTTGATGCTTTGTGAGGTACTTCTCTTGCAGTTGCCTGAAGGATGTGAATTGCATCAATTGTTGATTTTGTATTGAGCAATTTCTCCAGATTTCACGGCAAAGTTTTAGTAACGTTTTGATACCTGCAGTATCAAGATGCTTTGATAATGTCATTTGTGAGCCCAGAGGGCCCTGCTGCCTTTCCATACTTCATAGCTTTCAGAGCTTCTGTAAGCTCCTCTACAGTGATGTCTGGAATCGAACCTTCGATGGGTGGAGTGTCAAAGTTGACATTGATGGGATTTGTTTCATTTAACAGACGGTTGAAGTATTCTCTCCACTGTAGCTTGATCTCATCTTGTTCAAGAACCATCTCATTTTTGTCGTTTTTGATACATGAGGCACCAACTATGTCTTTTTTCGTACGCTTTGCTTGTTTTGCAATACGATACAGAGATCTCATTTGTTCACCTTTGATTTTAGTGAGCACTGATCTGTCCGAGTCCGTTCGACTTGACGTCTTGCGTAGTTGTTCTCACGAAAAATTTTATGATCATCAATAGACTCTGATTTTTACCATTGCTTGTATGCCGCTTTTTTTTCAGCTATTGCATTTTGTACACTGTCATTCCACCACCAAGTGTCCCTTTCATAGAAAACATAAACCATAACATAGAAAACATTTCTTACAACCCATTTTAACTAGGCTGAATTAATAAAATAATTGTTTTTTTTGTATTTCGTTTGAGCGTATATAAGTTAAGATAATTACAAAAAGGAGTATTTGAAACGAAACAAAAATTTATATTAATTAGAAAACCGAGAACAAAAAGCAAACAGCAAATTTAAAATACAAAATTTGCCGAATTATCATCTAAACCAGCACGACGCAGGATTTCGGTAGATTTGATGTGGTCCTTCAGACTAATTCGTTGCATCCATCGAAGCATTTTCATGTCGGTTCGTTGAAGTTGTTGTTCCAGTTTGGTTGTCATTGGCCATGTTTCTGCACCATATAACAACACCGGACGTATCACAGATTTATAAAGTCTTGATCGTAGTGGTAGTGGGATGTCACGCCTCATCAATATAAAGGCAAGGAGATGCCATTTATTCCAGGCTGCACGTATGCGTGCTCGAACGGCAGCTTCAACTGTTCCAGTACAATCCAGAACATCCCCTAGATATTGAAACGATGTGACTTTCTCTACCTTAATGATTTCAAAAACATTGCTAATTCGAATTTGTTGTTGTGGGTTGATGCAAGCAGGACAAACAAAATCGGACACTTTAGATAAAGTACCAATTATTTTTGAACAACGTTTATGACACCACTGGCTACAGTGCTGAAACTTGATTGAATTGATACCTACACCAGATTTACAAACTGAACAGTGCCATCGTCCAGTAGCTGTGGATTGAATGGGTTCACCAGTGTTCATTGCTTTGGTTTTGCTGATGTTGACTTTGAATCCATGATCGGCGAGTCTGGTGTTCCAATCTTCAAACATCTGTGCTGCATTCTGCTCAGACGTTGCTGTTAAAACGATATCATCAGCATATACTAGATTCCAAATGTCACCAGTGCGTATCGGTTTTGTGATTTCTTCCATCACAGTTATAAATAAAAGTGGACTGAGAATCGAGCCTTGGTGAACTCCAACGCCGATGTCAAATGCATCTGTGTTTCCAACCGTTGTGCTGACAAGAGTCTTAGTATTCGTATACATTTCCATCACAAGTCGAACAAGATATTCTGGAATGAGTTGTCGACGTAGACTCCACCTGATTGCTTCACGGGGAACTCGATCAAATGCTTTTTCAAGGTCTACAAAAATGTGTGATAGTTGTTGATGCTTTGCTTGCAGTTGTCGAAGGATGTGAATTGCATCAATTGTTGATTTCCCCGCTAGGAAACCAAATTGATAATTTCCGATTGTGATGCACGACGTTAATCTTCTCTCAATGTATTTCTCGACAATTTTCAGGGAGTGTTCTAACAGAGGTATACCCCGATAGGATGAACAGTTCAATGGATCACCTTTGCCTTTGTACAGCGGAACTGTCAGGCTATAGTTCAATTCAGTCGGCATTGAGCAATTTCTCACGGCAAAGTTGTAGTAACGTTTGGATACCTGCAGTACTTTGCTTTGATAATGTCATTTGTGAGTCCAGAGGGCCCTGCTGCCTTTCCATCCTTCATAGCTTTCAGAGCTTTTGTAAGCTCCTCTACTGTGATGTCTGTAATCGGACCTTCGATGGGTGGAGCATCAAAGTTGACATTGATGGGATTTGTTTTATTTAACAGACGGTTGAAGTATTCTCTCCACTGTAGCTTGATCTCATCTTGTTCAAGAACCATCTCATTTTTGTCGTTTTTAATCCATTTTAATACCAACTATGTCTTTTTTCGTACGCTTTGCTTGTTTTGCTATACGATACAGATATTTCATTTGTTCACCTTTGCTTTTAGTGAGCCACTCTCTGCACTGATCTGTCCGAGCCAGTGCGACTTGACGTCTTGCATAGTTGTTCTTCTCACGGAAACTTATAGTCATCAACAGACTTTGATTTTTGCCATTGGTTGTATGCAGCTTTCTTTTCAGCTATTGCATTTTGTACACTATCATTCCACCACCAAGTGTCCAGCTATTGCATTTTGTACACTGTCATTCCACCACCAAGTGTCCCGTTCATGCTGGCGTTTTGTACCAATTTTCCCATATTTTTGAATAGCCTTCGGTGTTGTTACTTGACAGCGAAGAAATCAATTTTCGTGGCTGATGGTCCACTTTTGTATGTTATGGGGTGTTCCAACCTCTTTCTAAAATATGTGTTCAGTAAACAAAACCCGTGACTTTCAGCAAACTCAAGGATGTGGTTGCCATCTTCATTCCGTTCTTTATAGCTAAAACCGCCATGTACGTTGTCAAAACCATATGTTTTCTCTCCAACGTGGCCATTGAGATCGCCTCCAATCAGGATTGTTTCAGATTTTGGTATTGTTGAGATGGTGTCAGAGAACGCAGCCCAGAAGTCATTTTTCATCTCTTCTGATTCGCCTGTCTGGGGTGCGTATGCAGAAAAAGTAATCATCGTTTGCTTTTCTAAGCGAAGCTTGATCCACATGAGACGTGAATTAATCCTTTTAATATCCAGTACTTCTTGTGCTAGACCTGCCGTAAGTGGGTGGCTGGTATTTGACTTGAGTGAGAACATTTAATTTAAGGAAATTGGCCAAAGATTAAAAAGGATTTTGGAAATTGACAAGAAAGATGAACGTCATTGTTCTTAACATCCCTAAAACCAATACCGAGGGGAATGAACGAGTTCAGACAGATTTTCTAGTTATGCTTTGCGTATAGTTAAAGTAGATAGGTATAGGTAACCTTTGCATAGATTATCTCAGACTTAGATTGATGGACCAATTCAAAAAAAGGCTTAGCGTCAGAAAGAAGACATTTTGAGACGGATGCTGAAAAATGTAGACTATATGCGATATCATCTGAAAGACATAAAAATGAAAATACGTCCAAGTTTACAATTTTCATGTGTTGGATCGGTTGAAAGGACTGCTACTCTTGGATTGATTGATTTGGCTGGCCATTCTAGTGAACGTCTTCAAAAAAGAAAGGATTGCAAGAAAACTTTTTTATTAACCGTCTACATAAAACTTGCATTATTTTTAAATGCTTTCCATGCAAAACTCTATTTAACAGGTTATATATATTTTCTGTTTTTGTTAATTCAAGTTTATTATAATTTGTTTACATATACTTTGAAGTTGCTGTTAGAAATAACATTTTTAAATTATTTATTCATTTACAAGGTGTCTAACAGTCATAGGAGCATTACGGAGGCTACAAAATCAGACGACTCAGGTAATCAATCATTCAATCTTCGTTTTGCGTCCAGAGACCCGGTTTCCCGAGGTAGGACGTTGTTTTCTTTGCCATCATCTTTTTGCGCCAAATTAGACGATCAGTTGTATCCATTTCATTTAAATTTAGAGCTTTCATGTCTTGCTCGATTGTTTGCGACCAGGACTTCTTTGGACGGCCTTGGGACGTGTGCCAGGTACTTCAACATCTGCAAGAGAAGTTATGGCACTGTTTCCACTTCGTTTGACATGACCACCGCAGACGGTGTTGCCGGCATTCGTCCTTTATATCATCTAAACCAGCACGACGCAGGATTTCGGTAGATTTGATGTGGTCCTTCAGACTAATTCGTTGCATCCATCGGAGCATTTTCATGTCGGTTCTTTGAAGTTGTTGTTCCAGTTTGGTTG